CACATTACATTATCTCGTCACGTTGTCACCCTCTTTTATATATACCAGCCTATCCTATCTAGTAAATACTAGAGCATTCCTGAAGGAACAAGATAATTCTAGAAACTAGAGGGCGCCACATCAGTCACGTGACCTCGATGACGCAACAATACGTTCTTTGTTTCCGTGTAGAAAGTTATACATAACTAACAGTCATAATGGCATTTTGTTCATCACACTAGTCCCAATGTAAAATTTACAAAATGGTGTGGGCCAAAAGAAATTAAAGTTCAACTTTTCCAAGTTACAGATACCTTGGTGAGTAGATGAAAACAATACCACAGTAGTTTAAATAAGAACATGCATAACGAAATGTATTTATTTTTATAAAAGTTTTTCAGAGACAAACAAATACTATTTACACACACTTCCCAAATTTTACAGATATCATGACTATCAGGAAAGATGTCACGTCACATCATAATAGTAACATAAGATGTCACACGAATCTGCTCATACAATATCGTGACAGCAAGGAAGAATGTCACATTAACCTAGGCATACAGTATCATGACAGTCACATAAGATGTTAAAATAATCTGCTCACACAATATTGTGACAGTCAGAAAGGGTATCACAATAATCTGATCACACAATATAGTGACAGTCAGAAGGATGTTACAATAATCTGTTCACACGATATCACAATAGTTAAGAAGGATGTTACACTAACCCATTCACAACATAACTTGAGAGTCAGAAATGAATCCACACTAACCTGCTCAAACCTTATAGTGACAGTCAAAAATGAATCCACACTAACCTGCTCAAACCTTATAGTGACAGTCAGAAATGATGTCACACTAACCTGATCACACCTTATCACGACAGTCAGAAAAAGGTGTCACCCTAATCCGCTCGCATATCTTGTCAGTCAGAAATGATGTCACACCAACCTGCTCACACCTTATCATGACAGTCAATAAAAAGACGACACACTAACTGGCTCACACCATTCCAACTCATAACATGAAATTCCGTAAAAACAGAACAGACGTTATAAGAAAGTTCTTCTAATGACCACCTTTGTATGTCTACATATATATATATACATGCTTTGTTTTTGACACAAGTTATCTTTTCCATACGTGTGTGCCTCAAGTCAATACCAATACTTAAAAGTAGTATTTTTTATCTTTATATCTCATATAAAATTTCTACTTCAGACACAATGATGTCTGACCTTTTTATTCCATAAGTAATACATGAGCACCGTTGAAAACATACGTTGTAGGGAATTTTCTTAACCTCATCAACATATCCACGAAAAACTCGTACTTTTAAGTGTTTCATCTCCGTGACTGGAGTGTTCGTCTGTTCTATGATTTGAATAAAGAAGATCTCGAGCGTGGTACCTCAGACTTTGTCTGCAAACACTAATTAGTTTCTGTGGGGGCAAAACAGGAAGGAGCACGTGGTGTTGCTGTAGAGTGTAGAGTATTCGGTTTGGAAAAGATGGAAAAAGCACAAGCTTAAAAAAAATCGTACTTTTAAAAAGCACGCGACATGTGGAACGTCATCTCACGTGAAGAATAACGACAGCTGTAATTCAATTGGCGAATCAACCATCCAAAAACCTTCTGCACGAGCGAAAAATGTACATTAATATTCACTTATTTTGAGTACGCCTGAATAAACTGCTAATATCACTTGGATATAAACTATAGGAAGCGGAACTATCATACAGAAGCAGACCTGAATCACTGCAAATCGACGGGTCGTAAAAACATCAGAAAATGTGCTGAAGTACGGTCCCAGAGATGAGAAAAAAGCTAAGCCTACTTGTGCTATAGCTTGTTCAATTTCATAAATACTCATCATCCTTATCGAAATATAAAATAACAAATTACCTTAAATCTTTTAAATCTAAACTGAACTTCGCGTGGGTTCGATGGAAGGATGAAAAAAATTGAAGGGAGGACAAACGGAAACCACAGTTGTTTATACTGTTTACAACAGAAATGTTATTCATAATTTTATTTCTACTTTCTATCTCCCTCTCTTCCACCCTTTTGTTGTGGGAATTGGAGGGGGGGGGGAAGGTTAAACTTGACTAAAAATATAAAAATAGCTGTTGCTGATAGTCGGTTAAGTCAAATTTCAAGACATTCAGTTGAACCCCGTATAATTGTATTTATTTATTTATTGGTTTAATAAAAAAAGCTAAGAATTATGAGAGCAGATCACATTAATTGTTAATTAATGACTCAAATAAATTTCGCTAAAAATAAGTTTCATTGAAAATTACGCTATTAAAATAAAACGGAATGTTAAAATAGGATATAAACAAACGTAGCAGCGTATTATAGTATAGAATATATCATACAGCTTTATTTGTTTACATTTATTTATTTGAAATATTCACGAAACACTATACGTAAGGGCCAGCTACGTATAGCTACTTAGCCTACTTTAATCGAATACTGGAATTTGACTGTTACTCGCATAACGCACTCACGGGAAGCGAGCCATGGACTCATGGCTTCACAGTCTGGTACACTAACTAGGTCATGTCTAGTCCTAAAAAGAATTGCGAATTTAATTAAAGCTCCAGTACTCAAAGAATCTAATTTCTGACCTTATATGCATATTTGCACACGTATATAACTACAACATGTTACCATACGTAAACTGCTTGTAAGCCGCGAGTCATTTTTCACACAATGTTGATTGAGTTAGACGGCCGGTATAACTACCGAGGATTCAGTGCCTTCAGTTTTGCTAATTTATTCAAAAGTCATTAGTTTTAGTCACCAAACTTAAGAACAAATTTATCATTCCTTGTATAGTATCTAAAGTCAATGTTCAAAGGTTAAATAGTTATTTCTCTGCGAATACACACCCAAGAACGATGAAGATGAAACCTTATAAAACAGTTTTCTGTTTAAAAAAAAAGGACAAAAAACGCATATTCACAAAACATGTTGTTTGTAACACTACTTGGACTAAATTCTTGCATCTACAATTGTGTTACTTAAAGAACAATGTCCAAAACGAGGCTGAATTATAAGGAACAATGTCCAAAACGAGGCTGAATTATTCATCTCTGTACTCGATATAAAAAAAGAGGATATCTTGTACTTCAATAAAAAAACAAAAAACTTTAACTTATTAATGTCTAATTACAATTCGTCTATAACATCTTTTTATCACTGTCTCAGACCTAACTTCTGTAGTCTGGGGTGTAAATATACTAAAGAACATGGCAGTAGAACAAGGTTAGGATTTCACAGTACAGTATGTTCCAACGATGTCGTTCCTACACTCGAAATGAGGATTTAAGGGAAGATTCCCCTTTGTTGTCGTATTGAACTACCACACTTTCGAATGTTGCAATCGAGTTTTACCGGCAGGGGCGCTCATTACTGATTTTTGTTCTCCGCAACTGGGCCTTGCGTTTGATTCTAACGCTCGAAAACATTAACTTAGCGTTAGTGACCAATGAGAGTGAAGTATCGGTGAACAAGGGACAAAGAGGGTAAAACGTGAGATAGAACCTAGAACCAGTGACCACGGGAAGAGATAAAATTTATTTCTTCCTTGTTTGAGTCTTCAGGTCCCTCAACTACTCATACTTTCTGACAATGCCAACACTTTCATACTCGGAAGTAACTGTACTGACGATACAATAAACAGATAACTTAAGGACGACGTAGCTCAGTTAAAAACTAATGATACAATAAATAGATAACTTAAGGACGACGTAGCTCAGTTAAAAACTAATGATACAATAAATAGATAACTTAAGGACGACATAGCTCAGTTAAAAACT